AAAAAATACAGAATTTGGAACATTGAACATTTTAATTATAAAAGTTATAAATAACATATTAAGTATAATATATTTTGGGTACATCTATTTTATATTTTTGTAAAACTTTTTTTAAGGACTATTATTCTTAGTATAAATGTTTAACTATWGAACAACTAATTGTTAAAATTTTTAATATAATATAATAAATTAAAAACTTCAAAAAATTAATAAATAAATGATAGTTTCCAACAAATTTAATTTCGTTAAAATTAAATCTATTAAAAATAAATAAGACATTAGACAGGTTCAACTTAAATTCATAATTTATTTGATCACAAACCATTATACAAATGAACGGAACAACTCATTTCRAACTGACTAGTATCAAAATAGTACTTAAACTAAATAATATGATGATAATACAATATAATTATCAATTATGTAAATTAATGAAATAAGTGTTAAATATGGAACTATTAGTAGTAGTGATTTGCTATATACATGTAAACATTTAAWAAAACGATTTTATTTTTAAATATGTATGTTAATGAATATGAACTGTTTAATGACCGTTTCAACGAGCAACAATGCCACAAGAAATTCCAAGTACAAGGCCAACTAAGTAAGATGCTAAGAATACATGAATCTCTTCAAAAATAAACTCATCCTCATCACCAGATATACGGTTAAACCAACGTTTAGCTTTGCGTTCTTTCTTCCTTAATAAATCCTCAGCCTTATCAAGTTTCTTGTCAACAAAGCGCCCCACCTGAAATCGGTCAATACATAAAGAAATGTCTTACAAAAATTAAAAAAACAATTGATGGTTTATGTCCAATTTAAAAAGTTTAAATGAATATTAAGTATTATATGTTTTAATATATTTCTTGAATTATTGTACTTATATAATAACTTAATAGTTATTATTTTACGAAAGATGCAATATTTAAATATTAGCTTGTGAATTTGTTATAGTTAAAATGTTGTGCAAAGAATTCTTAAATGCTGCATATAGATAATCTGTTTATGAGTAGGCGACACCAAGGAAGAAGCCACCAGTAAATCCAGCAGCCATAATGGAGTTGGTCTCTATAATGTTTCTGACCTAAAAGCAATTAGTACACAGAAATATAAAAATCTCGCTGCGAGTTGAAAAGTACGAAAATTGGGGAATTTATTTGGACATAATACATTAATACATTTAATGTACACAATATTACATTGTGTATAAGTTACCTTTTTCAATAATCCTTGTTTCTTGTCACTTGTACTGTCTTCGACTTGTTCAGCCACTCTTTCAACACCTCTGGTCAATTTATCCCAATTAATTTTTATATAACCACTCGAATTGGCTAGTTGTAGAGCTAATATGCCACTTCCGACTGTGAATGCAGCAGCTTTACCYAATTTCATCATAATAAAACCGGTCGCCCTGGAAATAATACAGTATGTATAAATACAATATTATATTAAAACTAGGTGAAATTCTGAACTTAGTACCATCCAGACGCTGAACCAAAAAGCAATTGTCTGGTTGCAGACTTTTTGCCAACGTCTCTGATGACTTTCTCAATCAAAGATTTCGCCTCTTCGGCTGTCTTATCTAAATCGAAATCTTCGGATGTTGATGGACCATCATCTCTCTTGCTCACTGCAGCTGATGGTGCCATGTTTTCTTTTTTTAATTAAAAAAATACTAGTATGTAAACTGGCAAGTTATTCGTTTTACAGTTGACAGTATGTTAATACAAATGCTGATTGTAATAAAAACGATGAATAATCAATATTTAAAAAAAATTATTGTWAGATGGGTAAGCGAAAAATTTCTTTTATGAAAATCGCAGAACAATAAACATGAATCATTTATAATCACTATTCTGTATTCACTAGCAACTGCGTCTAAAATCTTAATCTAAATTTATATTATAGTATACCTGTATACCTATTACATATCATTATATTTTTATTGGAAAACAAAATAATTCTGATTTTTCAGTCACCAGAGTAGCCAATGTAACAAAATAAACGGGATAATTGCAAACTATTGCATATTGTAATGTTCTGTGGTGATATTGATCATACAGTATCGTCGAACTTACTTTTGTTGCTAGATGACGCTGCAGTATACGATTTTAGTAGCAATTACTGCAGCTATAATATACCTAATTCTGACTGTGTTTACAATTTAGTCAATAATATATTTACCATATAAGTGATACTACTCTGTCCAGCGAGAGAATGCGCCAATTCTGCACACTCTCCGCCACACTACTGTTGAAACCGGTTTCGCTATGGCAGGATGTTGCGCGGGGGGAACCAGTTTTGGTCGGTGAGCGGCGTTCTCTCGCTGGACAGAGAATATGATAGTTTTACTTGACAAAATAATTGTTTATAGATAATATTATGCACTATATAGGCATAGGCGTGCGCAGACATTTGGTTCCGGGGGTGCATAGTATAAATTAGGGCCYAMAATAATTTTGAAAGCCATTATAGGTACAGCAAAATTTATATATATATATAAAATGCACTAAAAATAATTTTTTTTTATTTTATACATTGTAATAAAATAAATATTACATCAAAATATTCTATGAAATTA